CGCCCCAGGCCCCGCCGGTGCCGCGAGGCCTGCGGGGCGCCAGGCATTGCTGTTCATAGCTCTTGTTTCCATTGGAGTTGCTGTGTTGGGTTTCATTTGAGGCTTCCTGAATCTTCCCCTTCTGTAAAGTGTACATTAATACCGAGTTCCTTGGTTTTTTTTTATATATATATATATAAATATATATATATACAAACTGTACTCTTCTTGCCTTTGTACATTTGGGCAAGGAGAGAGAATAAATCTTTTTAAGAGACAATCACAAACCTGCGAGGGTGGCGTTTTCTTCCTGTCGCTGCTCTCCCTCCAGCCACCCCCGAGAAAGGAGCCGGTTGCCGCCCCCGTGGGCACCTCTCCCTGAGCTGGTGCTGGCCCCGCACGGCTCTTTAGAGCCCTGGAAGTGCAGTTCAAGGGATAAGCGGTTAAGGGTGGAAAGGTCAGTGGCCAAGAGGGAACTGCAGTATTTCCGGTTTTAACGGGCACAGATTACGTAAGGGGACGGGCTGGGGGGCACAGAGCAGCTCCGGGCATCGTGCTGGGTGCGCTAGTACCCCTGGGCCACGCTGTCCCCCTGCAATCCGGGGGCAGGTCCCTGCGGTGCCTGGAAGGGGGTTCCCATCCCCCTCTCTGAGAGCACCCATGGGGCCCTGTCCCTGCACCCCGTCCTGATCTCAGCGGCACCCACGGCCTGCGCTGGCGCCCGCAAACCTGGCCCTGCTCGGCTGCTACACAAGGCAGCCCAGGTGCCCTGAACCCAACTGATGACGCTTGGGCGCACTCTGGCACCCGTGTCGAGGGCGTGATCCGGGGAAGGCACCTGCGCTTCAACATAGCGGGAGGCCCGGGACAGCAGCTGGTTGCTGGCGGAGGAGCCCACGCACTTTGATAAGCAGCACTGGGCCCAGCTCGGGGCAGGACGAGAGCCCCGAGCCCAGGGAAGGGCCCGGGGAGGCACCAGCAAACCCAGGAGCCCTGCTGGTTCTCTGCCCCCTCGCTGGCCGGAAAGCCGAGACGCGTGCTCTGTAGCACAGAACACGCGCTGGGGCTCTGCCGCTTCCACTGCAAGGAGGGGAAGAGGCCTCGCCACGGAGCCCAGCCGAGCCCGCGCAGAGCCGCTCCCGTCGCCACGACTCGGCCTTCAGCTTTAAGCCAGCTTCTCTTAGCCTAGTTCACAGCTTCAGCCCCAAAAGGCAGGAGCAGAAAATGAAGCGCTTTGATTTTTTGAACCCCCACTTGGCTGAGATTTGGCTGCTGGAGGGGGCTAGAGCAGAACCGCCCCGGTGCAAAGGGGACTGCGCACGTCCTGGCCGCGTCCGTGCTTGCGCCACGTTCATTCTGCTCGAGGAGAAAGAGGGGAGAGAGACACGAACTTCCACGTGGATTTATTCACATAAACTTGATATCCCGGCCCCCGCCTTTCTCCCAGACGAAACACCTCGACCGTGGCATTTATGGAACAGCTCCGCTTCGGCTTCCAACACCAACCGTACCCGGAGGGTGCCACGAAGCGCACAAGGACAGTGCCCCAGCAAGCCGCCAGGCCAGGAGGAGCGCTCACGACTTGGGCCAGGTTCCATCCCGACAAGAGCGCCTCCAGGTTCCCCAGCGTCTGCAGGGGCAGCATGGAAACGCAAGCTGCAGCAAGCAATACCCCCATGCCATCCCTGTAGCCCCCTCCGGGAGGTCCCGCCGATGGGAGAAGCCTCCCGCACGCGCGATCCCCTTTGGTTTGGATACGGCCGTTTGCACCGCGGGCCGAGACCTCTTGGGAAAGGCGCGGAGGAGGAGAGAGGTGCGATAACAGCTCAGGGGCCTCGGGAAGAGGCTCAGCGGGAGAGCCTGGGGGGCTCTTCGGACCAGCAAAGCCCTCGCACCGGCAGTTAGCAAGGAACCGTCCCCCCACACTAACACCAGGGCGTCGTGCCTGCCCCTGCGCAAGCGGAGTCCCCGGGCAGCATGAAGGGAAGCCTGGACAAGGCTCCTTTCCTTTCCAAATGAGCAGCCCCAGCTGGGTGAGGTTCAGCTGAATGCCCCTTTTATTGAATGCTGTGATAGCGCAGTGGTAACATGGAACAGAGTAAGACTGCTTCGACAAAAGCTGGAAGAGCAAGAAAGTTCTTTTAAAAAATAATAATTAAACCAGTTAAACAGCATCGGTTACCCCAGAGCAGAGACGCGCTGGGGCTTTGGTGTAACGTTAAGAGTTAACTCGAGCACATCCCTTCCGTGCCTCTCCCGCCCCCAACATGCCTTTCGCTTAAGAGTCTGAGTGAAAATTAAAAAAAAAAAAAGAAGGTAGTCGGTCAGATGAGCACACACTGCCCGCCAGGTGATGAGGCAAGAACGACGCTGATGGAGAGAAGTCAAGGAGTCGATGCTGCGCCTACCGCTGCGCTCCTGCAGGCCAGGCCGCCCCGCGTGGCCCGGGCGCCGCGCGCCCCGCGGCTGCATGGAAGGAGCTCCTATGCCAGGTCATAAACATCTCCCGTTTACTATTTGGTGATTACATGTGTGTATATATAGTTCTCTAGGCAACACATTTCAATGAGATAGTCAACTCGGAGGATACACAGGCCAATCTAACAATGAGAAATGCAGTTTCAGTCCGACAGAAGCTTGTTTCCCCCTTCCTCAAGGAAGGGGATGTAACCCTCTCTCCCCTCAAAAGCATCTCCAGCTCGAGCTGAAGTCCCCCACGGCAGCTATTCTTCGTCAGAGGAAGAGTTCTGATCCAGGGGGTACACCATGAACATCACGTCCGGTCGCGACGGCACAGAGGGGTGACCAGGCCTCACGATTTCAAAGCCCA